GAGCGCAACGCTGAAAGGGGGCGGGGCTGCACTACAAAAATGCTATTTGTGAGCGTTCAATTCATTTCAATCACGGTAGGTTTCATTTCAGCTAGGATGCTGCCTACATAGACAGCTAGTTTTTGGAAAAACAAAAGAAATAAAAGTGTAGTGCTCTCAGTCTCCATTTCTCTGCTTCACTGCCCCCAGCAGCCCCTGGAAACGCTCCTAAAATCACATTTCATTTTCAATTGCGGGATGAAAACTGCTTCCAAGAGAGCGTTAAGAGGGTTCTCAGAAATTGTACTTGGCCAAATTACAAAGACTGAGCCGTCATGCTTTTGATTTGCCTCAGCGGGTCCTTTAGCAGGAGAAATTAGCAAAGTAAACATTGTGAATCTATTATTCAAAAGTCTTGATAAAGAAAAATGTGTGACGCTGTTTCATGGTTTTCAGCCCGAGTTTTTGTTCATGCTTAGTCTAATTTTGTGCAGATAAATCTGATGTGAGCCGAGGAAACATCCTTCTCAAGTGCCTGTGTGTGTTTGTTTGGACTCCTGCACATGAAAGAAAGCGCTCATTGGAAATTCTAATGGGATGTGTGGGCTTTGTAATTAGCACTAGAACACGACTGCTCTAATTAAATCAAGACTCGATGACAGGAAGAGCCGGAACTGCAGCTCGTCACCATCTCTGCTTGGGAAGGTTGATGTTAGACCCTCAATATTTCGAACTTATGATATTGTAAGCGTTTTTCACAGTCTAAATCACATCATTGATGTCTCCTCTCCCCCCGGGCACAAGAGATGGTTTGTGGAGATGTTGATTAAAGGCCTCTTTCCTCACACACGCGGCTCTTTTGGGACAGATGACTGATCGTTTCAATAGGGGCTTTGGCTAGTCCCGGCTCTGAGAAGTTTGATGAAGCACTGCAGCTGGATGCTTTGGTTTCATTTTTGTCTTTGCTTCACTTTATCAAAGAGAAACTGTTTCATGGACCGACAATCATTTCCTTGAGGATGCCTGGTAATGGATGCTTGATGAATAGAAAGTGAACTTGAGAACAACACTGCGCTGTAAATCATCATGGATCCATGGTGTGTTGTTTTTTTATAGTCATGGCAGCGTGTTCATCGTTTCTTTCCATTTGCACTTGCCGGTGGAAAAATCCCAGACACACATTGAAGGAAACCAGAACAGCACAGAGACTCTTTTCACTCTTTTTCCATGTTTAGATGGGAAGATATTTATGAAGTACTTCATGGCATGACATTCTCACATATTCATCCAGATAAAACCGTTTTGTGGTGTTGTTTACTGACTCTGTTATTATGCACGAGTTTGTTGTTCTGAACATTTCGTAAAATAAACCCAATCGCAGGCTCCGACACGCTCCATTAAGGCTCTCAGAAGAAGTTAGTGGGGAATGTGCATTAGCAAATTGACTATGCACGAGACTCCAGGACCCTTGTTTTACTGTCTACACACACACACACACACACAAATAGCTGATGCAATGCTTCCATGATAAAAAGTCTACTTTATTGGTTTCGTCATAACAGTCTTACAATCACATTTGGGTTCTGCATATACAACATGTTTCAATGAGCTTAAATGATCAACAAACTCTATTTTTTAACGGATTTAGTTTGATTTTTGTGACATGCATGTCTGTCCACTGTTCAAGGAGTAGTTCAGTTTTAAAAAAAACTTTTGCTGATAATTCACTCACCCCTATGTCATCCAAGATGTCCATGTCTGTCTTTCTTTCTTCAGTTGAAAAGAAATTAAGGTTTTTGATGAAAACATTCCAGGATTTTCTCCATATAATGGACTTGAATGGGGTCCAAATGAGAGTTTCAGTGCAAACTGTTCAAATGGCTTTAAACAATTCCAGACGATGAATCAAGCGGGAAAAAAAGTTTAAGTTTTATAAGCTCAAATGGTCTCAGAAGAGTCACGAACGCGCATCATAGAACAGGGCAAGGCGACCATTTGAGCTTATAAAACTTAAACTTTGGTATTTTTTTTTTTTTTAAATGAGTGATCGTTTCGCTAGATAAGACTGTCTGGAATCGTTTAAAGCCCTTTGAACAGTTTGTAGTTTGCACTGAAACTGTCTTTTGGACCTTGAACCGTTTGGTTCCCATTGAAGTCCATTATATGGAGAAAAATCCTGGAATGTTTTCATCAAAAACCTTAATTTCTTTTCGATTGAAGAAAGAAAGACATGGACATCTTGGATGACATGGGGGTGAGTAAATTATCAGCAAAAGTTTTTTTTAAAGTGAACTACTCCTTTAAGGGGGCTTCGAACAATAAAGCTGGTGGCTCTGTTGCTTTAAGGAGTTGTTTTGCAGGATCTTCTAAATGGTTTTCACTCCCGAACAGACCAAACACATCGGGGAACAACCTAGCTTTTAAACGCAGTCATGTGAAAGTCATGCAAAAATCATGCAGCAACACAACATGAATTAATATGACGAAATTCTCTTATGCAATTGTCCCACTCCAGAAACATTTGATTCATTCTGGTTTCTTTCTGTGTCTGCACTGACCTTGCCCTGACCCCTCACCCTAGAGAATACTTCACCAACATCTGCCATTCATTGATTGAGAAAAAAATGGAAATGATTCATTAACAGAAAGCATAACGTTAAATAGGAAAGTAAATCAGGGGAAACATTAACAATACCACATCATGTAGAAATGACTGGTCTTTAGGATTAAGATTGTATTGGACTTTTATTTTATTTTATTAAAATCAGCATAAATCCCCCCAGTATGTGTGAATGCAAATACTTAAATAACTACTTTTTTTGCATGAAAACAATGCACAATTACTGGTCCTATTTAGGACTTTCTTTATGCAAGCTATAATTTCTTTTGATTTTGGTGCTGAAAGTCCCAGATGATTTCACGCCGTTTGGTGGATGATGAGTAACTTTGACTTGGAGCAAATGGCAGTTAGTTAATAGTTTAAAAACTGTCCTTGTGTCTCAACTCAGACTTTGTACGTTACATAATTGGTGGAAAAGTTGAATGAAAAAGGTCAAACAGCTTGTGTCTCAGGAAAAGCTTTCTCAGCGAGTGGAGCGGATACTTCAAAACACAGAGAACACATACGATCAGGATAAAGGAGTAGTTCACTTTTAAGAAAAATTTTGCTGATAATTTACTCACCCCCATGTCATCCGAGATGTCCATGTCTTTCTTTCTTCAGTCGAAAAGAAATTAAGGTTTTTGATGAAAATATTCCAGGATTTTCCTCCATATAATGGACTTCATTGGGAACCAAACGGTTCAAGGTCCAAATGAGAGTTTCAGTGCAGTTTCAGAGGGCTTTAAACGACACCAGATGATGAATATCTAGGACCCTTCGAGTCATGACTTGAAAAAAGATTCACGAACGCTCATCACATTTTTTAAATGACCAATCGTTTCGCTTGATAAGACCCTTATTCATCATCTGGAATCGTTTAAAGCCCTTTGAACAGTTTGCACTGAAACCGTCTTTTGGACCTTGAACCGTTTGGTTCCCATTGAAGTCCATTATATGGAGAAAATCCTGGAATGTTTTCATCAAAAACCTTAATTTCTTTTCGACTGAAGAAAGAAAGACATGGACATCTTGGATGACATGGGGGTGAGTAAATTATCAGCAAAAGGTTTTTTTTTTAAAGTGAACTACTCCTTTAATGGTGCATCTTTTCGTGCAACGGATATGGAATGAACTCTGGGTTAATTGCGGGTAATTAAACTATATACCGACATACTATGAACCCAAATAAAGCACATGAAAGGTAAATGAAGTTTCAACAGCCTCATTTGAGAGATAGAAAATAGCTGTTACTCAACAGAAAAAGACCGAAATAGATTCAAGCACAACCAGACTTGAACTTCCCAATCCCTCTCCAGTCTCAAGCCCACCCGACCACATTTTCCCAGCATAAAGTTCCCTGGGAAACAGATATGCACCTCAGAGAGATTGAGCTGTTAACCCAGAGCCATCATACGAAGATAAAGCTCAGCGAGATCGAGAGAACAAGGGAAGGTAAAAGACGATGTGGAAGACTCATGCTACTCTCTCCAAATTATTGGAGATATGCCAATATGCACTGATAATTGGTTTCACCAATATATACTCATCTACTTGATCGTTTCTACAATGTTAAGTCAATAAACAATCCATGCATTTTCCTCTCTCTAAAAAAAGAAATGCATTTACAAGTGTTAAGACCAGGTAAATAACGTAATGCATTACTTGCATAAATTACTTTTTACATAACATGCAGAACTAAAAAAAATAATTAAATGCATAACTATTTAGATGGCTAAAACATTAAATTATTTTCGCAATGCATATTTCTATTGTAGTGCATGATCAGATCTGTTTAGATATTGCGTCAAAAGCAAAAACTAATTTCTTATGTATCGGCCATTACTTTTTGGTTTTAGTTTTTGGTATCAGTCAGTAATAAAGTAAAAGAATAACTGAATTGGTCAATCCCTTTCCTTGAGACCCGATTACACTTTCCAAACTGGTTTAAAACACACCCACTCTCATTAAGGAGGAGATGTTATTTTACAGTAGCTGAGGCTGTTGAAATGGACAGAAGGTTTGAAGAGGCAAGGCAAGAGATTCTTTCCCTTCACAACATTAATACTTGTGCACAAACAAATTAAGTTTTAGAGTAATACAAATTATAATAATTTACCATGGTAACCACATCATAATATTTTCCACCAAAGTTACTATGGTTAATATTAGTATTGGTTTTCTGAAAACATCTTCCATTGCTTTAACAACGTTCCATTTGTGTTTTACTTTTAAATGCTTCAATAATGATATTTTGTTTGAAACTATGGTTATCATGGTATATTTTTGAAAGGGTTACATATACAGGTAAAAGCACCAAGAGTACCAAACAAACAGGCATTCTGGGCATGCACTCAAGCTCCGAGCACTTTCCACATGAAAACAAAACTTATAAATGAAAAACAAGGAAATGACACAAATGTGGGACCTGACCGCAAGTTTATTTTGATAGAACACTTTTAAAAACATGTATAAAATTGGTCCGGCTTTGGAAACAAGGCACGCAATGTCTTGGTTCATGATCTGAGTGTTTGTATCAAGCATTCCCTATATAAAAACATCCAAATTACAGAGGATAAAATTCCGAGCAGCGAGACAACCATGCAAATAAACTTGTGTGATGCAGACTGGATGCTTTAATAGTAGGTCTCCCTCTCCACCCAACCTATGACAAAGATATAAAATTCAAATTAGTTTCGCAGGACAATTGCATGCATGTAAACTCTAATCTGTATATCCTGTTCTTGTAAATGCAACAACTACAATTAACTAAACTGAATAAAACATTAGTTCTTTACCAAAACCTAGTGACCTAGGCAGTATTTTAAGTCAAACACTGGGCTCAATCACATATGTTCTTCACTAAGACAATCCTAGAGTGCATTGCAACATGAAAAAAAAAAAATCCATTCAAGGTGGCAGATGGATTCAATAGAAATCTTTTTTAGAAGGATTAAAAATATTAACTAGGTTTTGAAAACCTCATTATGCAAATAAAAATTATCTCCGATGTTATGAGGCATGGTGCGATTAAATATTCTCTTACCTCCTGGGCTGCGTCGAATGATAAGTTTTCGGATTTCATCATAAATAAAGATGAGGAGTGAGTATGGGAAGGCGCAGAACCACCAGTTTGGTCTGGAGAAGAAAACATACCCAAATTACAAATCACACCGTTTAATATGCAATACATTTTCTCAAACTCTCTCAACCAAAATGCATAATCCCACCAAAATCATTTAACATTAAGTGTCACCAAACACTATGGAAAATATAAAGTAAACTAATGCAACACACTTTTACAAATAAAACCGTAACACCGCCATGACATAAATGGCAAATGTTTTATATAATACATGTGTTGCATAAACTGACATGATGCAAAAAAATGACCCAGAAATATTGCAAGACTTACTTCAATGGATACATTCTGAGGGCCACATCCATGCCTGGACAGTAGGACAGGAAAGCAGCCAGAGCTGTTTCTTCAAACAGTCCAAAGATGAGAATCTTATTCCTGCAAAGAACAACAGTCACTTTCTATCCATTTTGAGCAAATCAAATTAGGACTAATTATTGGCCATCTACTTACTTCATTCCTTGCTGGAAGACTGAGTTTCTTCTGGTCTTGCAGATGATCAAATCAGCCCACTGTACGATCACAATACTGGTGAAGAAGGCGGTGTGGCATGTGAACTCCACAATCTTCCTCTGTTCGTACGTCTAAGATGGCCAAGAACACGAGTTCAGACGAGACTATGGACGAATGGAGTGATTGGAAAATTGGATGATTGAAAACACTCACCCATTGCTGGCCATAACTGTCCTCCAGGTCATTCATGTATTTGTCGTCCCAAAACACTCGAATCCCCAGCAATGACGATGGCAGGAAGCCATTTTCAGCCAAGATGACAAAATATGTGAAGAACCCAGCCAGAGCTTGAATCATACCTGTGGAGAAAGCAGAAGCAATGAGATTCAATCATCCAACTTCTTTACGCAACTGCTTTGCAGATAAAATCAACTCTTACCGATCTGGCCGTAGGCTATGCTAATTAGTCTCTCATTTACAAGTTTGTCAGTCTTGGGGTTTCTCGGTTGACGCTTCATGATGTCACTCTCAGCAGCTTCATAGGCCAATGAGATAGCAGGAACCTTGAGGATAAGAGGACAATGGCATTTATGCAAGAACGTGATTTGGCTGACCAATCAAAGTAATTACTAGTCAAGCGTGGTGCTTACCATGTCCGTTCCCAGGTCGATGCAGAGAATGGTGACTGTGCCCAAAGGAAGAGGGATGTTGGCAATGATGAAGAAGAGGAAGGGGGTGATCTCAGGGATGTTACTGGTCAGGGTGTAGGCAATGGACTTCTTCAAGTTGTCAAAGATAAGACGGCCTAAAGTGGAAGACACATTTGAGAAGTAAGTCTTTATAATTTCCTTTCAATTAAGTCCCCAATAACGTCATACCTTCTTCCACTCCAGTGACAATTGAGGCAAAGTTGTCGTCCAGAAGGATCATGTCAGCAGCCTGTTTGGAGACGTCAGATCCAGCAATACCCATAGCCACACCAATGTCAGCCTTCTTCAGAGCTGGAGAATCATTGACACCATCACCGGTCACGGCTACAATGGCACCCTGTGGACAAACACAAATTAATCTTACACCATTCCACGACAAGCCTAAGTTCTTGTCCTCACCAACTACGAATGCAACAAGCCATTTTGTCAATCCGTTGGTTATCCAAAATCCTGCTTCTCGTAGCTTTATATTAGACTTCAAATAGGTTCAGTGTGGGTAGAAGTTACTTGACGCTGGAAACTGGTCAAGTTGTACTAGCCAGGTCAAGTATTCACCGCTTATCTTATCTTATCGAAACAACCTGGTGAAGTTTTGATTGACCTGAGATCGCAATGACGACTAACCTGTCTCTGGCAGCCTTCAACGATAATCAGCTTCTGCTGAGGAGAAGTTCTGGCAAACACAATCTCTGTGTGGTACTTCAAGATGTCATCTAATTGCTCAGGGGTCAGATCCTTCAGGTCTCCACCATGGATAACACAAGCCTTGGCATCCCTTCAAAGAACATTCGATTAAATGAAAAACTAAACGAATGAATATCCAAACAAAAATATTCAAGTCAAGGAGGAGGAACCCGTTACCTTGGGTTGACCTCATTAATAGGAATGTTCAAGCGAGCAGCAATGTCTTCAACGGTCTCGTTGCCCTCAGAGATGATGCCCACTCCCTTGGCAATGGCCTTTGCTGTGATTGGATGATCACCAGTAACCATGATAACCTAAAAGTGCCATTCAAAATCAAGATGTTTCTGGTTGTTTCTTGGAGACAACAAGCAGTTATTCGCAATGACTATGACGTACCTTGATTCCAGCACTCCTGCACTTTCCCACAGCATCTGGTACAGCAGCACGAGGAGGATCGATCATGGACATGAGACCAATGAAGCACAGGTTCTCAGTGGGGAAGTTCACCTCTTCCGTATCGAACTGGAAATCCTCAGGAAACTGTTCGTCGGGAAGGTTGAAGTGGCAGAAACCTGTGAGGAATCAACATGTTGAAGGAAAGAGTAGAATGGGCATGCATAGATTATCAACAAGCTAAATTACCAAGTACTCTTTCTCCAAGGCCACCAAGTTCCAAGTACGCATTCTGGAAGGCGTCCTTCATCTCATCATCAAGTGGCTGCTCTTTTCCTTGGATCAAAATAGAGGTGCACCTGTCCAGGATCCTTTCAGGAGCGCCTTTCATTACCAGCAGGTGATTGGTTTCAGTTTTATCGCTGTTGATGTTCTTATGAATGGATAGCTAAAAAGGTCCACAGACAGAAAGCGTTAGACAACATAAATGCATCCAAAGACTTGCCCCAAGGAGGAGACGGCTTTACCTGGTATTTGTTGGTAGAGTTGAATGGGATCTCTGCAATCTTGCTGTATTTTTCTCTCATCTCTTTCACCGATCCACAGCAGAGCTCGATACACTTCAGCAGGGCAGATTCGGAGGCGTCACCAGCCACATCTCTCTACGAGAGGAAACAGAAAAGCGTGAGATCAAGGAAAAGTCTGTCTGTTGCATGTTTAGAAAGACTGCTTGGGATGTTCCAGCAAATGCAAGCCATGCAGTTTAATTTGAGGTAAGAGTCCAAAAAATTAGTCCCGTTACAAAACAAGTCAGGATGTTTTCAGGGAAATAACACAGACCTTAAGAATTGCGATATTTTCTTGCTCCGCAAGGAAGACGGCACGGTTGCAGAGACCGGCGACACGTGCGAGGGCGGCCCAAGTAGCAGAGCTCCTGTCAAACGAGGTTCCACTCTGGTTCTCTGTGGTGTCTGCTTCATGAATCTGGTTGTCAAACCACATGTGAGCGACGGTCATTCGGTTCTGGGTCAACGTTCCCGTCTTGTCAGAGCAGATGGTGGAGGTCGAGCCAAGAGTCTCCACGGCTTCCAGATTCTTCACCAGGCAGTTCTTCTTTGCCATTCGTTTGGCGGTCAGAGTTAAGCAGACCTGGTGGTTTAAAGAGTTTTAGATGATTTGATATTACAAATCAACCAAGCTGTTATTATTCTGCTACTACACAACTGCAATTATTCTGGCACTTACAGTTACAGTAGCCAAGAGACCCTCTGGCACATTAGCAACAATGATACCAATAAGGAAGATGACAGCTTCCAGCCAAGAGTATCCAAGGATCAGAGAGAGGATAAAGAAGGACACGCCCAGAAAGACAGCTACACCAGTGATGATGTGGATGAAGTGCTCGATCTCAATAGAGATGGGGGTGCGACCAACTTCAAGACCAGAAGCAAGAGTGGCGATACGACCCATGACAGTGCGGTCACCGGTGTTAATGACGACCCCCCTTGCAGTACCTGCAAGCAGAACAAATTCCAATGAAAATGTCTACTTAAGTTTTAACAAACACAAATTTTACTTCCAAAGGGCTTCGTGTTTTTGTACCTTCAACACAGTTGGTAGAGAAGAACGCAATGTTCCTGGTCTCAAGTGGGTTTTCATTGGAGAAGTCAGGAGTACGACTCTGGGGCTCAGATTCGCCAGTGAGGGAAGAGTTGTCCACCTAGAAAGGACAAGATTGTTTGTAATTCTGTGCCAATGGAGGAGACATTCAACCATGACTTGAAATGGTACTTTACTTTGCATCCATGAGCAGAAATGATTCGCAGATCAGCAGGAATTCTGTCACCACCTTTGACTTCCACGAGATCTCCAACCACAACTTCTTCAGCATTGATATTATTCTTCTCACCATCACGGATGACCAAGGCTTGCTACGGACAAAGTGGAAATTCACTTAACACCACTAAAGACATTACAAAGATCCAGATAATATGAAAGGATTGTTGTCAGTACCTGAGGGACAAGGTTCTTGAAAGAGTCCATGATCTTGGAGCTCTTGGCTTCTTGATAGTATGAGAAACATCCAGTGATCATTACAACAGCAGAGAGCACAATACCCAGATACAACTGCACAGGATAACAGAGGAGACGTTAGGGGTACTGCTAGAACAACAATGTTATCTTAAAAGGCATACCCTTAAGAAACACAAATAGGGTTTTCTCCTTACGTTGTCATTGGCAGGTTCCTCCTCGGAGGCCGCCTGGATGCCGTAGGCAAGAAAACAAAGGATGGCTCCAATCCACAGGAGAGTTGAGAATCCTCCAAAGAGTTGCTTGCAGAACTTGACCCATTCTGGGGTTGTTGGAGGTGGGGTCAAAGCATTGGGTCCATCACGTTCCAAGATCTCCCTAGCACGAGCAACAGACAATCCCTGGAGAGCGAGATGGGTTAGACAATAAAGATCCAGACTGAGAGCTTTATGCCAATATTACACTTCAAAAACAGTCCATCTTTAAATCAAATCCAGCACCGAATCAGATTTACCTTGTTTAAGTCAGTGCCATATTTCCTATTGAGTTCATCCAGGGACAGTTTGTGATCATCCTAGAACGGTGCACAAAAAGAACATTTCACCATCTGAAATACTACCTTAATAGTTTTGCCAACAAGTGTTTTGAATCACTAAACAGACTTACCAAGTCCACCTCTTTTTTGAGTTCGTCCATGTCTTTATCCTTCTCTTTCTTGCCCTTGGGCTTTGACTTTTTGCCCCCCTGCTCAGAGGTGGCCGCCAGCTCATATTGTTCTCGACCTTCCTGTGGTGGAGCAGGCGAAAACAAAACATTAAATCTCCTTGGTGCACGGTCCAACAATATAGTATTTTTCTTAACCGGGATGCAACTACTATAATCAGTGAAATCAATTCAGTGTGATGCAAGACTGTAATTTTGAACAGCTAACATTTATTGATGGGGTTGTTTTTTTAGGATAGACTTGCACAAGAAACTGGAATTATCCGACTTATGCATGCAAGAGACGCATGTAAAATATTAGCAAGCGGTAACGTAGCGCTGATTGCACAATCCGAATGTGTAGTAATTAACATTTAACTTGAAGGACAATTAACCAAGTGGCCTCTACTAACGTTAAGCAACAGTTTTTATCACAACGGCATTCTGGGAATAAAATAGGTGGCTCATTGTCTAGGCAAGCACATGAGCCGTTAAATGAGTCACTAAAGTATAAACCATCTGATTGCTAGTTTGCATTTGAACCAAGTTGATCATTTCCAAGTTGATCATTTGTCATTTTCAGTCATTTGTCATTTTAATCAACAGGCTCTTTGTTTGAAAAACGATGCGTCAATTTACTGAATAAAAATGCAATTATACGTTTTTTAGTATATTGAAAAGAGAAAGTACACAATAGTAAAGATTCTAGTAAAAAATATCTAACGTACAATCGAATCAAACCATCTAACTGTGTGGCATAATGGTCCATTGACATACAATTGACGACTATGTAGGGCTGCACAATTAATCGAATTTGTAATCGCGATTACAATTATGGATGCCACAATTATGTAATCGTTCAAAACACACATTATTCTGTGTACTTAAAATGTTTTTTTTTTTTTACAGCTTATCTTAAGGGTTTTTTCCCCATTGTTTTAATTTTAGTTAGTGTAACATTATAATTAGCATTAAAACAACACTATCTAACATTGTTTACTTAAAATAATGTTTCCAAAATCTTATCAGTGGTACATCAAGTCGTAACAGGGTGAAAAGCACTTCTGCCGTCGCCTAACGGGGTCTGTATCACTTTTACTGGCACTATATAACTTCGGGGTTCGGGTAGGAACCAGACCACATAATTCGACTGCTTTACATCACAACAGTCATTATTTCGTTTTTCTTCATTTCTGATGTCGCAATACTTTCTAAAGCCGCTGCTGGATAAACAGCGAGCGTGCGTGCGTGCGATGGTAGGCTAAATTATTTACGACAGCGGCAATGGACAATTTCGTTTCCAACCAGTAGGGCGACCGAAGAGGAAAAGTTACTTGGTGTTACTTTAAACCATAGAAAAGCATTGAAATTCTCAGGTGTTTTCAGCCGTTTTATTTTGATATAACAATTTGCATGCCGTCACTTCGAACAATGGCATAAAGCTGTTCAAAACATCATTCAATGTAAATTGTGATAATCGCAATTATAATTTCAAGGCAATAATCGACAATTATGATTTGTCATAATTGTGCATGGATCATTTTACAAAGATATTTATCTCAGCATGAAATCTATTAGTTTTTGGAAGGTCCTGCTATAAACTGCATATTTTTTTGCACATGAAAGCAACAGCTGATGCAAGTGGCCACAAACAAAGACCTCAACACCTGTAGTGCTCTACTGAACATGACAGCTTACTTCAGCGCTCTTTCTCGTCTACTTATGCCAAGTCATCAGGTTCAATATGCATACGCGCTCCTTTCACATCTTGCACATGTGTGTGGAAAATGTCAAAAGGTTGAAAGAAAGTGAGCCAGAGGGTGAAAGATTAAAATCAACCATGGCAGAACCAACTCATAAATGGTCACATTTGTGAGAGAATATTGTATGGATGCTACCATGTTAATATTCTTCCAAATATTTCCTACCTTGCACATAAGCCAAAATCAGTGTGCTCATGCATATCAGTTCTGGGACTTTGCCCTGTTGCCATTGGAAACAGAGCCACACCTCTAGACCTGTGAATGGGTTAAGTCACGTGTCAGACCCAACAGTCTTTGTTTCAGAATTGGCGAATGAACAGAGGAGGGTGAAAAGAAAACACGATGTACTGTACAAACTCCTCCACACCAGTCACAGGTCAATTAGTGCTACATTACAGCTTTTCATAAGCTCATTTCAGTTCAGGAGCACGGATTGAAAATTAACTACAAAGTACAGTGGGGTCCAAAAGTTTGCATTTCAAGAACAAACCTGACAAAGATTTTTTTTTTTTGTGGCAAAAAAACCTCTGTAAACTTCAGAATATTCTCTCACAAATGTGACTATTTATGATATTATACATTCATGAACAAAACCTGCATGATTTGAGACATTCCAAAGAGCATCTTGATCTCCAATGAATGAAGAACGTCAGTGACACTCTTTATTTTCACAATTCTAAAAAGTGACAAATTACACATTTTCAATGTAGTCTGAGACTATTGGACACCAATGTAGTTTTAAAATGTCAAGATAAACATCTATGCATTCTGGAAAGTTATTTATTCCTCTATTCGTGGAGGAAAAGCAATGTTTTAGTGTGTGGTTAATGCATACTATACTCATAGTAGTACCAAAAATGGTAAGGGGGCCCCGAGACAGCCCGTCAGGGTCAGATAGGATTGTCAATGACAAAAGGTCTCACTAAACACAGAGTGACCGATGAATGGAAAGAATGTTAAACCCTTCGGAGACGGAATGACAGTCTTAGCTTATACACACACTCAGGAGAGCGAGTGCACAGCTGTGGTCAACACCTGATGCTGGTCCACAGTATACGAACATTTTTGAAAGAAACAATATTTTTAACCAAACTTCAAAATACCGTACAATATAGTTTAAATACTATGGATTTGAATGTTATACAATGCCTTTAAAATGTAAATTAGCACATTTCAATTCCCATTCTTATTTCTATATGACCCACATCGCAAAATAGACTAAATGCTGCCATCTCATTTCGGTCTTTAGTACACAAACACTACAACCCTGTGTCTGCAGAGGAGAGACATCTGCCCCATTGCGGTGGGATTTAATGGGGCTGGGGGCGTAGCTCAATGCACCAAACCCAGATGAAACATGCGGATGGCTGTTTGCTCTCCATCACATGAAGCATCCTGGGACTCAATGCATAATTTACATTTAAACTGGTCTCACATTAGGGAGTGGTATTCAGCTCTTACTGCTCATACTGTAATCATATTAGGAGCTAATAAACCCTAGCTGGAGGCAAATCATAAGACTATGACTAAATGTGAAAAGAGAAATGGAAGAAATTTAAGCATGAGATATTTTACAGCTTGATTTCGATTAATATCCATTCACCTTGAACGTCGCCCCCATTTATTTTAAGTCAAGCATTTGTTGAACCCACTCAGCCCGAGATAAAAATGACAAACAGTCCACTAACACGTGATAACTTTATCGTGTCAGATACACCCAAAAATGTGACATGGTTTACTTGGCGTTACTGACAAATCATTTAGAGGTTTTTGAACCATCTCGTAGCAGTTTGTCGAAATAGCTTGTAGTAAATAGATCTTGTGTATGAGTTGCGTGATGGTCATATTTTGTGTACATTGAGATTTTCAGTAGGCGGATAGTTTAAAACGAGAAATACACGTGCTAGTGTTTTATTTGAAATACACGCCTCTTTCATCTGGAACGTTTTAAAATTGATATTTAGACTTTGAAGATTTTGAAACAATGCATCCTACAAGTCCGAATATTTAAACTAAGCGCGGCGTTCCATTTCGAGGTTCACGCGGTTTAATTGTTACAATGTATCTCGAGGTTTCCTCAGTCAGAAACACGTTGTCGGCCAAGCTAGAAATGTAAAGGTAACGTTCAAAAGCTGAAGATTTTTCGAAGAGCTGCTAAACATAAGGGTTACACCTAGCCATTCTCTTAGTTCAGCAATATAAAAGTCACGAGACTGACTTTATCTGCTTCGACAAACAGGCCGTGCAACATCGCGGCCATATAGGAGGAAGTTTGTCTGTTACATTCCTGAAATCTTTGTACTGAACCAAGAAAGTCTTAAAGGGGTGCTTGACTCTCTTTTAAAGCCACAGACCTAAATACCTGTTGCTCCATCCGAGAATACAGACTTTATAAGGTTTTAACGAACCCTCGTGCACATTTCATTCATTTAAACCAACTAATTTGAATATTCGAACTGCGGAAGTCTCGCGCTCTGGGAAGCCATTTGGAACTCTTCACCAAAACATTCGAATTATGACGATACTTTGAAACAACTGTTTGAACACGGACATTCCAAAACAGCATTTAAACGACAAAACACGTTCACACTTACTCCTCGTCCCATTTTGCTTCTTTTGGATAAAAACGATCACCTGAGTTTCCAAAAGAAAAATCCAAGTTTTCTTTAAAAACAACAAATTAAAAGTCCCCAATCTCGCTTCCTTTTTTTTTCCTGGGCTGTTTATCCTTGGTCACCGCTGGACTTGCCGTTCAACCCGAACACGCATCCAAGCCGCGTTACAGGCTCTGAGCATTCAATGCTTATATCTACGGTGGGGTTTTTCTGTATGACGTCTGCCCGGATTGTCATGGTAACGCGGAGGAAAGGGGCGTGGTCTGTGGGGTAGGCTAGATCTGGGCTGGGGGATTGTGTCAGACTTTCACCTCTGAACTTCGATCACGTTGAAAAAATGCCCATGAATCTTTTCTCCATATCAGAGTAAAGATACCTTGTTTGTTTGATCTTATCTTTATGAAATGCCGGTTAAGAAGCCCCTTGAAATCTCTTGAAAGTTACTACCTTGTTAGAAAAATCCAGTTTGAGATTATAGGTGTGTTTTACAACATGCTTTCTAGCTGGTTATGTTCAGAAAACCAAAGCTCCTTACTGATTTACTGCAGGTCTGAAATTTTCTACCAGTATGTAGCCTACCAGACCATCTAGAATCCAGTTTAGATTTTCCATCTTTTTAATCCCTACAGTTTGCATGCAAACCTGGTTAAATTTGTTTAATAGTATTACACTATTTACTATAACAGTTAAAAAGTATTAAACTATTTAATAAACTATTACATGGCCTTCTACTTGTGGTATGTGCTTAGAAAAGCGAACATAATCATGTTTATGGTGTCAGACAGTCTAAAAATCACGACTTGCTTGGTTTTTTATTGTTTTATAACCTACATACTAGTGTGATTTTGTTAGAAAATACATTTAGCAAATTAAAAAGCTTAATAAATAATGTGAATGTTGTTGCATTTACTCATGTATATGGGCTAATATTGTAGATACGCTAATTTGAGCTCAATTTGTCAGGCTATTTTTCATCTTATTTCATGGTCATTATGTATGTTTTTCAGGATTATCTTCATTAGAGGGATTATGCTCATTAAACACATGTATAGGCCTAGTGTGTGTTGCTGATGGAAATTGACCGGCTGAAACGGTGCCTGTTGAAGACTGCATCTTCAAAGTATAGGGGAGCTAAAAATATCTTGAATTTTATTTACAAGCTGTGGGCTCTCGCCTATACATGTGTTGTCATGGAAACTATCATGTCACCCCCTAATTTTAGACTAGAAGTACGCCCTCTAGTGATAGTTGTGAATTCTCACGTGCTGTGCCTTTGTTTCTTTTCTGAAATGTCAATAAAGCATATTTTAAATTCTTGTTGCTTAGTTAACTTTTGCCTTTTAGATAGATTGGTATTGAGCATTAATGTGTTGAAACTGATTGAGATAAATCACAAGTATGCCCAATGATGTCATTATCACGAGTGTTTTTTAATCATGGTGAATGATTGAATGATTTATTAATTCATTCATTCATACATGATGGAATATTGCATCAGTTTCTATTGCTCTTAAATTAAACTGATTAGAGACTGCCACGCCACTTAGTGTTTTTACACCTGAAGAAGACATACAGTAGTTTAATTAATCAATAAATTGATTAAAGCAATTTTACTATCAGTAATGTGATTTTTCTGGTATGTATCTGTGAGGTGCAATATTTGATTGTTGTCTTTAGCGATTTGTACACTCTAAACAATGCTGGGTTGTTTTAACCCAAAATTGGGTAAAATATGGACAAACACAAATGTTGGGTTAAAAATGTCATTTTAAATTTTAACCCAACTTCAACTTTCACTTTCAAATGTACATTTTTTTAAATTACATTTTTAACCCAACATTTGGGTTTGTCCATATTTGACCCAAATTTGGGTTGAAATAACCCAGCATTTTTTTAGAGTGTTAAAATAAATGTTCTTTATTGGCATTGTTGGTTCCATGAAGAACCTTTAACATCCATGGGACCACTAAAGTTTCTTTATAGTGGACAAAAGGTCCTTTAGTTCTTTCTTGGGAGAACGCAAAACATTTGCAAGAGAACACAACAACATTGACAAATTTTAGGGGCTCCCTAAGAACCCTTATTTTTAAGAGAGTAAGAAAAAATTGATATTTTTAAAAAAAAAGTTAACTGAAAGTTTCTTTGATAAACCAAAAACACATATTCTATTGCATCACTGTGAAATTTAAGAGTAGAGACACAATGCTCACAGTCAATACTTTTAGGTTACCAAAAACTATAAAAAGATAATGAGTGGGTGAAATCATGCTATCTTGCTCATTTCAGATTCATAGAGCAGATTGAAAACACCACAAAAAAACAAAAAAAACCAAACAAACTTAATATTATTTCACAAGTTTATTGATTGAAAATGACCAGATTGTGTATCATTTTGAAAATATCAAAACGAATGTCTTCTTGCATATGTTTGTGACATAAAGTCGTCTTGTTTCAGTAGTATGTTTCTTTTTCCACCCAGCCTGAAACAAAACAGCACAGATATAAGAGCCAGTTCATGCAAAACAACAAAACACTGTTAGGAAATTTATCAGAAATCCAATTCAAAATCCAAAGTTCCTTTTGGGAAAGCTTTAAACATATATCAATTACCTCCTGGGCTCCGCCTGAGGATGTATCTTCTAGCTTCATCATATACGAAGATGAGCAGCGAGTACGGGAAGGCACAGAACCACCAACATGGTCTAAATCATAATAACAATGTTAGGTGGTTAATGGTTTTCAAAGTCTGCTATATGTTATAAAAAATCCAATTTGTAAAAACCTACTTGAGAGGATACATTCTCAAAGCAACGTCCATGCCGGGGCAATATGACAAGAAAGCTGCCAGAGCAGTTTCTTCAAACAGTCCAAAGATGAGGATTTTGTTTCTATGAAATAATAGTAGTGAGCAATGAGCATTATGATAAAATAACACATTTTACACATGTTAATGTCTGGACCCTTTGTTTACGTACCTCATTCCTTGCTGTACAATGGAATTCCTTCTGGTTTTACAGATGATTAGATCAGCCCACTGCACAATCACAATACTGGCAAAGAATGCCGTATGACACGTGAACTCCACAATCTTTCTGCGCTCATACGTCTAGAAATATAAACACATGAGCAATATTAACGTAGATACGTAAAGGTACGGGACTCTCCCGCATATTGATATATTGTAAATTAAATACAAGATCCCTAGTATTACAGACAGCAACATAGTGTCGGCCCAGATGCGGGCCACATCTGGTACATGTGGATTCACACTCTAATTTTAACCCAACTTTGGGTCAAATATGGACAAACAGCCATTGGGTAACATTTTTAAATTATATTTTTAACCCAATGTTTGGGTTTGTCCATATTTGACCCAAAGTTGGGTTAAAACAACCCAGCATTTTTAAAGAGCAGATGTGGGCCGGATCTGGGCGAAACCATGTTGCGGTCTGGATACAATCACATCGGTCAGCCAAGAAGAAAGATCACCTGGTATTATCAGAAATTCGTTTTTGCTTGGTGGGATGTCTGCATTTGTTGTTTAATACAAGTTTTTGATTTATTTATGACACCTACCCATTGCTGGCCATAGCTGTCTTCCAGGTCATTGAGATACTTATCATCCCACTTTACTCGGATTCCTATTAAATCGGAGGGCAGGAATCCGTTCTCGGCAAGAATTACAAAGTAGGCAAAGAACCCTGCAACTGCTTGCATCATACCTAAAAATATGTATGATGACATTAATATTTAAGTTAGGAGGGTCTGACAATAGATTGAAGTATATATTAATGTAATGCATTTGTTTTTGAAATTGTAGTGCATTCCATTTTAAATACGTTATTTAGATTTTCTTTAAAAAAACAGTAGGTGGCGCTGTTCATAATTAGCAATTATGAAGTTTCGTTGACAGTTTTAATGTGCTAAAGATATAGCCACCTTAACTATTTATTTGTGCTTAATGAAGCTGTAGTAACAACACATTCTCATCTCAAAACGTCATATAACTGACGTTTTTGACCATACGTCAACATCCGACGTTTTAGGGTACCCTTTAACGTCACTTAGACGACGATCCTAGGGCGTCATCCAACTGACGCTTTACCTTTTAAGGTAGGTTAGGTTTAGGTCTGGGGTAGGGTTAGGATTAGATAGCGTCATCTAACCGACGTTGAAGGGTACCCTAAAACGTCGGATGTTGACGTATGGTCAAAAACGTCAGTTATATGACTTCTTGGGATGAGAACGGGCGGTGCCTAACAACGCGATAAAGTCAATGTAATCCACAGCTTCTTGGGGCTTATTGCTTTAGGGTGTGTTCACACATGTAGTTTGGTTCGCTTGGTTTGTTTGGTCCGGACCATAAAAACATTTAGTCCTGGTCTGCCTAGCGTTCACATTAGCATTTTAACCCTGAACCTAAAGATACCGGACCTAAAGGCATTGGGATGTTGTAGATTTCGAGACGGAACTTACCGAACATCCAAAAACATGGGCTAAATAAGATCGATGTATGCGTGCAACCTTCAATTTATGGTATTTTGACCAGCTGAGAACTTGCAAAGAGCTTATAAAATGTGTAAAGGCATCAAAACAGCGGCGGGAATCCCTCCGTCACACACACAAATGAAGATCTTCAAATGAACAGCACTAACTTCGTTTTAATCTAACCAAACATGTAAGTGTGAACACGCCCTTAATAAATAACAAAGACTGCTGCAGTGCATTTGTACAATCGAATGTGTGTTTTGCTTATTGGTGATGTTTTCTATGTTGAGCATCCATGATAATTAATTTAGAGTAAAATAGTTAAGTTTAAGAACAATAAAGTTCTTGTTTAAAACCAGGTCAATGAATGAACATAGAGCTAACAGGTATGCACATCTGTTTACAATAACCATGCTCTTACCGATTTGACCATAGGCCATACTGATTAGCCTCTCATTCACCAGTTTATCTGTTTTAGCGTTTCTGGGTTGTCTCTTCATGATGTCACTTTCAGCAGTTTCGTAGGCCAATGAGATAGCGGGAACCTGTGGAAACATTAAAAAAATCAAATGCAACGCAAGTGCAATGACAGTTACAAGGTAGAATTCAATGCATCCATGCATTGCCAAGATAAGGCCCAAATTTCCTGGTTGGGATGCTATTCATTGGCATAAGTTTAAAGTTTGAGGAAAC